TACCCTCCCTAATTCTGTCATCAACAGTATTCATAGAAAAATGAATAATTTCCTATGGGGCTACAGCAGGGACAAACCCAAATACCACTGGAAATCCTGGGAAATGATTTGTCTTCCAGAGATGGAGGGGGGGCTGGGAATCAGAAACTTAAAGGAGGTTCAGAAGGCTTATTCTATTAAGCTCTGGTGGAAATATCATAATGAGGACAGCAAATGGGCTAATTTTATGAGAAACAAATATGGAGATACTTTTAGAACTGAAAGACTTACGGACTCTACAGTTAAGAAAAGAATTTGCAGAATACATCATCAAGCACTCGAGCACTGTGAGTCTGCTCCCTTAGAGAATAATAAATTTTCCCTTAAAAAGGCTTTCAACTTCTGCAGGGGGAAAGAGACAGCCCAAATGAGTAACAATTTTAACTGGAACAAGCTACAAATCCCTAAAGTCAGGCTCTTTCTCTGGAAAACAAATTATAGATCACTCCCTTGGCCAGGAAACCTAACTAGGTTCTCTTACAGCTACCCTTCCATATGCCCTTTCTGCCTTAATCATGAAGGATCTTTGAACCACTGCCTCCTTCAATGCCCAAATATCAGAATTATTTGGAGCAAGTTTGCTTACCTTTTAGATGGGCCAATTCTCAAAGATAAAATCTCCTTCAAGCAACATCTCCTCAAATGGAACTTGCGAGGCAACAATCACACGCTTAGAGGGAACCTTAAAAGGATAGCACCAGGCATCATCGGCTGGAACATCTGGAAGCATTATGCAGCTGTTAACTTTGGGAATAACAAATGCAGGGTCGAGGACATCACCAAGGACATTATTAGTAACCTTCAATCCTGGTGCTGGAAATACAGACACAAGAAATGGATGATCTACGATCGGGAACTAATCCATGAAATGATTCAAATCTGGGCGCTCAGTGGAAGGGTAATTAGGGATTGGGCTTTCCGTTCTACAGATTGATTTCCGTCCTCTCTTGGGCTACAGTTTTGTATTTTGTGCCAGTTTTTACTTTTGTTGTAACTGTCCTTTTAATGTATTGGTAAGGGCGGCCTGGATCTTACCCCACCGATTTTGGTGGATCTTCTTCGGGTTTATATATATATATATATATATATATATATATATATATATATATATATATATATATATATATATATATATATATATATATATATATATATATATATATATATATATATATATATATATATATATATATATATATATATATATATATATATATATATATATATATATATATATAATCGACTGATGACAAGAAAAAAAGGCTAATCTTAATGCTCACCACATTACTCTACAAAGTTCATCAACTATCAATGCAAAACGAGAAAAACTTAGTTCACAAACAAAATGATCACAATTTTCACAAACTTACTATTTGTGATTTTCAATAAATAAAGTAAATATAGTTTCAAATAATTTTAAAATAGAAATATAAACCATAAATGATAAGTTTATGAATTTTGAAACTATTTTATTTGTAAATCTAGCATTGCTCATGCAAAACACACTTGGAAATAAAACAAAGTTAATTCTATGGTGGACGTAAGGTCCACCATACAGACCTGCATATGAGCAAAATTCTATGGAGTAATTAATAAGCATTTGTTTTTTCAAAAAAATAAAAATAAAAAAATTTATGTGAAAAAGTTCACATAAGTGTTACGCATCTAGAGGTGCACCAAAGAAGCACTCATAAAACAAAACTTATCACTTCGGACACCATTTTTTTAAACTTCAAAAAATAAAATATTTAATTAAAAATAAAATAGCAACATCAATCATCCACCGATCAGCAATGGTGGCAAGGTCACTACCAGCGGCGGCAATGACCGGTGACCAATGGCAGTGGAGAGCGGTGGTAGACGGAAACAGTCACGGTGGCAAGCGGCGGTAAACAACAACAGTCAACAGTCAAAGTCCAGTCAACATGAGTCAAAATCTACTCTGATTTTTTCTCAAAAAGAAAAAACTCAAAGTATTGAAAAAACAAAGAGAGTTTTGCTTTCATTGAGCCAAACATTACATGAGATAAAAGCTCAATGATAAGCCTCTATTAAAAAAAACCCCTCTATTCGTACAACAAGAGCTCACCTGGCCCATACAATCATACATCTAAGATGAAAGAAAACCCTCAATTTAAAAATCCCGAACACATTTCCCTTTACTAAGACAAGAAAATTGCCCCAGAAATCAGCTCAGCCGGTAAGCATATCTTATGTTAAAGAACAGTTGCAAAGAGCAGTCCAAACATATGAACTATCTGTCTTGGGAATTTCTCTAAGTATTACAAAGTACATATATTCTTTTCTTCCATAGATGGATTTACAAAATAACTCACAAAATAACTCTAACACGAAAAGCTTATTGTTAAACTGAATTGTTGGAAATGAATGAACACTCGAGAGAGAAGTAGATCCTCACACAGCTGATAACTCTACTCTACGATCGCAAGGCCAATACGCCACAAAAGTGCCATCGGTGGAGAAGGAACCAGGATTGAAGCAAGTAACGCCGCTGAACTTGAATGCCTTCTGCTCGCTTTTGTCCCCCAAAACAATCTGCAACACAACAAGATGAATGCTTATCAGAGTTATTCATCGTTGTACAAGAAGTTTCCAACTTAGAACACACACACAGACACCATTTGTATTGATTTTAGGCCTAATTCATTGTAGCATGGGAATACGTATATTTTGTTAAACTTTTTTAGTTATGGATTTGTCAGTAGAGCTGGAAAAAAAACTATAAGAGTGCACTGGATAACAAAGTGAAATTACAAAGCTGAATAATTACTATGGTAGTAAATACATAACTGGCAATTACATGGTTTTGTAATTAAGTGAAGTAATCAAGGTGTAATTAGAGTGTAATTACTTTGTCTGTTTGGAAAATAAAGTGTAATTACTGTGTAATTTTATAATTCATATTTTAAAAGATAAATTGAAGCCTGTAACTCCACTAATTCCGACCCCTCTCCCTCAAAATTGGAAAGTATGATTGGACATCATCAATTACACAAATTAAGCTGATTTTGGATTGCTTGGTGAACCAAACAGGACGAAAAGTGTAATTACATGTAAATACACCAAATCCCAATTACACATCAGAACGCACTCTAAAACTTTTCAATTTTTGCGGCATGTGACTTTGAGGGTCGAATTTTAATTGGTTACATATGTGTACTATCAATTCGGAATGAGAGCCTTTTCATGTTTGTACTGTAAACATAAATAGGTACACCTTACGAGAAACCCTGGAAGCCCAATTCAAATTTTAGTAGTGGTATAAAACCCAGAACGTAGTTGTATATCCTAGACGAAATGGTTGCACACAGATGTGCTTTGATGAGATCATGTGCATCACCACTAAGATGATTATAGCACCAACATACTAGAGGAAGAGAAAATTATACTTTTTAGTAAATGTTCTACGAGATTGTACTAATGACAAAGCTGCTTTTGAGGCTTAAGTTTTTGCACTATCCCCCTCTTTTTCGGAAGAACTGCACTAATTCACTTTTCCTGGGCATGAGAGGCGATCGCTCTGGGCCAAAAAATTATTGGGGCCAGCATTGAACAAATCTCTTATATATGCATACGCCATACCTACATAGTCCCTTCGTCCCTTGCCAAAAGGCACGAGTTTACTTTGTGGATATTAAGACAAATTTATAAGTGATTGAAAAGATAGGGTGAAAGTGTAAAAGTGATTGAAAAAGTTAGTGTGAAAGAGTGATTAAAAAAGTAATAGAGAGTGTGTAAAATTGATTGAAAATATGGAAAAATGGTTTTAAAAGTAGGTTGGTTATGCCAAATTAGAAGTATGCCTTTTGGGGTGGGAGTTCTAATTTGGAAAGTATGCCTTTTGGAACGAGATGGAGGGAGTATAATTTTACTCCCTACGTTCCATGTTTATTTTCATTTTACGATTTATGGAAGTTATTTTCAGCTTAATTTATGTAAGGGTGTGTCTGGTTGAGAGGAAAATATTTTCCAAGAAGAATATTTTCCAATGGAAAATGATTTCCAGGGAAAATTATTTTCCTCCCACATTTTTCATTGTTTGGTAGAAAAAATATTATGTCTAAAAAACAATTTTAAATGTTAAAATTTCAAAATTGAAATTTTAGCAGCATGAGGGCGGGAGGCGTAGGATGGGAGCATTGGCATATTTGGTTCAGGGTAGAGGGGTAGGGGCGGATGGTGCGGGTTGGCGAGTGGCGGAGGATGATAGGGTGGGAGCAAGGTGGACAGGCAGGGTAAGAGGGGATGGGGGTAGGTTTGGCGGGTGGCAGTGGTTGGGGCAGGATGGAAGGGTTGGGGCATAGCAGGTGGCGGAGGCAAGGTTGGGGTGGGGGACGGGGGTTGAGGTGGCGGATGGAGTTTGGGGGGAGAGTGAGTAGGAATTTTCCTTCAAAAGCAAACAGGAAACATTTTCCTCAGAAAATAGTTTCCTACCACTTATGTTACCAAACAGGGAAAAATGAAATCAATTTTTTTGGGAAAATATCCCCCCCCCAACCAAACGGTCCCTAATTATATGTGTAAGATTAAAATATAAATTTTATACTCCGTCCGTCCCAAAATAAGGTTCACAGTTTGACTTGGCACAAAGTTTAAGGAAAGTGAAAATATGTTGTTGAAAATGATGCAGAGGAGAGAAAATTTGTGAGCCATCAAACTTTTCCATAGAAGGAAAGAAGAGGCTTTTTTGGGACATCCCAAAAAGGAATTAAGGAGTCTTTTTTTGAGACAGAGGGAGTATATTTGGGACATCCCAAATAAGTGGTGCCACGACTATATTGTTTTAACAAATGCTTAATGTAAATTTGAAAGGAAAGAAGATATAGTTTGACCAATAGTAAAATGAAGATAAATATAGGCTAGAGTAAAAGATTTTATTAGAGTAGCCTAACTTAGAATAAGGCCTTATGTACCTATCTTTGAAAAATTATTACCTATTAACAATGGACTACGTTGTACTACTCCATCCCAAAACGAACTTAAACACTTTGACTTCATTAAGACTATGTAACAACAAGCTAGTTGGATCCCACTTCATGAAGACTGAAGTTTAAAAAAATACAAAAGTGAAAGGTATGACGTTAAAGTTTATTTCCGAAAAAGGAAACTGAAAAAGTGGGTATTTTATTTTAGAGTAAACAGAAAAATTCAGTTTGGGACAGAGAATAATTATTGAGTACCTTCAGAAAAAGTGATGGCCAACTGGCTACTGCAATTCTCTAGGAACACTAGTAACGGTAACGGCTAACAACGAGAGACATGATGACACAACTATTGAATAGGTAAAAGTACCCCTTCTGTTAGTTGGGATATATAGAGTATGATTTCTTTTTTGCTATAGAGTAAATGCAAATGTTTTATTATAAGTATTTATTCTTTTTCAATATTCTATTCATTGAATTGAAAATTTGATCTTCTATTGATAGCAATGACCAGCTTGAGTGCACAACATGTTATTGATGAAATTAAGTTTTATTGAGAAATGGTGAGACTGAGTGATCTCCTGTGGGTCAAGAACAAATTACTCAAACTAAAATGTAAGTTTTATTAAACAATGGTTAGACCAGCTATGTTGTATGCGACTGAGTGTGGATCAGTGAAGAACACTCCCATGCAGAACAGATGCAGATGGCTAAGATCCAAAAGCTAAGGTGTATATATGGATGTAGGCCATGATCTATTCAACTTGTAATTCTAGCTTTCATGTCTCTTGTCTCTACTCTCCAATCTCTACACTTTGGATTCCAATTCTAAATCTACAGACTCCAGATTTTACTTAAAATTAAAACTATATCAAGAATCCAAACTCCAGTTAAAAGAAAGGCGTAAAGAACAAGCTTGCACTAGTAGCGATAGGGTTCGGAATGATGATATTAAGGCAAGATGAGAGTCACACTCGTGAAGGATAAGAGAAGTTGGAAGCAGGGAATTAGAAGAGGGGTAAAGGAAGGCTACAGAAGAGTATACTGAGGAAATTGTACAAGACTTGTGGTCCCAACAGTTTACTAAAGGCATATCCCGAGAAAGGAGTTTTTGGAGATCGATGATTAAAGTTTTATGGTAAACCTTCTTAGGAGTGGTTCTTTGTGTGTTTAGGGCGCTTGGGGTTAACTAGGAATATTGGGTTGGGTTACTTAGCTAGTTATAGTAGGTTACTCTTTTGTGCCTTTTTTTTGTGTGTTTGATTTTTCTCCTCTCATATTTGTTCACCTTAACTTGTTTGAGTCTACTAACTTGTTTTATGGTTGAACAACTGTCTCCTTCCTTTTACTCCCTTTAAAAGGTTAACAATTCCTTTTTGGTTTTTCCAAAAAAGAGTTGTGTTCATATTATTTCTCTCTTCATAAATTTAAATCACACAATTTCACGTCTTTCTTAACCTTCAAGCCCAGACAATTGTGAAGCTCTTTATTTGGGGACGAATGGAGTATTAAAAATCATGTCAAACACATTTGTATCTTACATTATGGGAAAGAGGGAGTGCAATATTGCCATTAGAACTTCACTAAAACTAAATACTAATATGACTGGGAAATTGTTGTTGAATACTAGTATGACTGAGAAACTATTGTTGGTATTATAAATAGGAAAACTAATAGTAATATTACCATGTACTCCCCATGTCCCAAATAAACAACACACTTTCTTTTTTGGTTTGTCCAAAACAAAAGTCCATTTCCTTTATGGATAAGCAACAAGTGGTCATTGTTATTTCTCTCTCTATCGTATCAATTCCAACCACACACATTTGATTTTTCAATACTTTTCTTAAACTCCATTTCGGGTCAAAATGGACTTTTAATTTGGGACAGAGGTAGTATTATATTACATTATTACTAATTCAACTTTCGAGCTAATATCCTTGCAGTTCCGGAAAAGTAAACTGAATGAAATATCTTTGACAATCAATTCAAATAAGAATATGGAGTACCGTGTGTGGAGTAGGATAAAGGTGGAGGCTGTGATCATAATTCCATATAATGGGTTGCACGGTTAGAGGAAGGGGACATAGATGACTTTGGTGACAAATAGTAGCAACAAGCTGCAAGAAAAACATAACCGTCCATTGTTGATTCTTATATTTTATAAGATAAAAGATAGCGTCAATGCATTACTAAGGATAGTAAAAGAATACTTACATGCTCAAATGGATCACTAGTCTCTTTCGTAGAAGGTGCCATTATGCATGACCTGCGCATTTTATAGAGCATGTCCTGCCGGAAAAATACTATCTCTTGTGTGTAAAACTTGACTCTGCTTCAACATAATGAGCAGAATGAATTATAATGAACAACACTGCGCTACGATTTCTTCTAATTAAGTGAAAGAAATAGTTTAAGGATCATATGAGAGTAGTGGTAGTAAGTCAGTACAAGGGTCCTTGCAAATGAGTTTTCAAAATAGAAATAATGATGATGATGATGATGATGATTATAATTATTATTGTAGTTCCTATTATTACTATTATCATTATAATTACAATACTAGTAATAGGTGTAGTTGTAGTTGTAGTAGTAGTAATCTATTTCATCTTATAGTAGTATGGACATTGAAAAAAATACCGTGTTCGATATTCAGTCAATTTTCAACTAAAAATAAAATGGGAAATAGTCGGAACTAGAATCAGAATAGATCCTCCACTAAACACAACTCATCCAATAAGGCAATAAAGAATACCTGCATGGATTGCTGGAGAATATGGCAGTTGGAATATTCTTTTGAAGCTCTTCGGTAATGTATTTTGGCAAACAGCATCTAGGCAAGACTGTTGAAGGACCTGATATAAAGATATTGGTTAACAGCTATATTCTGCTAGCGAAAGAAATTCTACATAAACTTGTGATGATTTATTCAACAGACCAACATCATCTGGACCAGGAATGAAAAGAAACCGGCTGTGGTCCTTTAGTCGTGGATGGGATGCAATAAGTTCCCCTAATTTTCCAAAATGTGACCTGGACATGAGGTTGTTACTTTTGTTCATTAATCGGGTAGGTTTACTAATTGAACATGCAAACAGCAAAGCAACTTTAGCTGGCCATTTACCTGAGCCTTCCGAAAGACTTGAAGGAGAGGTTGCATGGATGAGAGCAGAAATTTCCCATAAACACGAATAACAACGGAGTTACCTCTAAATTTTCATAACCACTGAGGATAATCTCCAGATTTTTCATAGTCTTCTCTAAGGAAAAGAAAATAGTGAATTAGAGGACAAAATTCTTAGTAATTAAAAAAAAGAAGAACTGACAAGAAAACATCAAACCTCCTCATTGTCCAGCCAGATATCAGAGAGGATGATAAACATGTCATTCACGGCTCTTTTTTCCAGCTCTGCAAGTCTGACCTATTGCAATGTTTAAGAAAATCTAATGTGGTAATTTCTAATTTTTTCACACAAAATAGTAAAGGATCATTTTGTTGGTTTTCTTAATAATAGTTATTCCTGACGCCTGTAAAAGGATACAGTTTCATCATTTGTTAGTATACCAGCACCAAAGAAATCAATCCCTGAAAAGATTGAAGTGGATTTTTCTCTGTCTTCTAGAGGAGGAAATCCACATTTTCTGACCTATCAAAATAATTCTCAACAAATTAATAATCAAGAGTAATAAGATAAAAATAAATGGAACTAGTAATTAGGCCAGTTTTTATACTAAATTTAAGGAGCACAATATTTAACTGATTATAATGTTGGTGGAGTTGTAGCAATCGAAATGTATTAGGAACTTATTCATACAATCACAGTGCATGACTGCAAAAGAAATATTGTGAACGAAACAACAAAGTCATTTAGTACTCCCTCCGTCCCAGAGTATTTGTCCACTTTCATTTTTACACACCATCCAATGCACTTCTTTAATCCATTTTATCTTGTAATTTGTATATTAAAAAATTATAAAAATTATATATTAATAATCTATATGTTAAGACAAATCAAACAAGATCACACATGACTATATTTAGGCTTACACATTGAGAGAATTTGATGAGTCAAAGTGCTTAGATGAACAGTTCCAAAAGTCAAAAGTGGACAAAGAGAGTGGGACAGAGGTAGTAATTTCTAATTTACTATTTTCATCTTACTCCAGATCTCTAACATCAAAGAATTTGAACCAACTTTAGCAAATCTTGAACACCTATAGAAATAAATTTAAAGACTCTAGTTGCTATCTACAATTGAACTACCTAAGAAAAATTGTTTTTTTTGTATGGCATACATCTCAGACCTGGATTTTAAGTGCATAGTACATACAACCATCCAAAGGCATTGAATATTTTTTAATAAAAGAGCATTTGTAGGTAATAAAAAAGACAGATTAAAGAAATGAATTTTGATTACTCATTCACTTGCATGGTTTGCTTTGATGTAATCATGTAAGTGGAGCTTAGGGGAGGGATTTTTCTCCCTTTAAAATGCTGTCTCCATTCCCTTCATGTCTCTCTCTCCCCCATGACTAAGGGGATTTGAAAGGAAAAAAGATGGTTTTATTTCTGGACTAAATTACCCTCTTACATGCACGTTGCAACTATAATGATAATTCATCCTTTATGAGTTTGGCGTATGTTCAAATTTAAAAATATAACAAATATGTTTGTAAATGAATACTCCCTTATATATTTGCTTAGGACTTAAAGACACAATTTTTGAAGGATCAAATGGAGGTAGGAATTCAGGAAATATATAGGAAAAATGATGATATTAAGTAGAAATATAAGAGAAACTACTCGCTCTTAATTCACCTTAGGGCTTAGTATCAATTTTATACTTCAACCATCACAATTGAGGCAAAAAAGAAGACTCCTAAATACACACTCCTAATAGCCAATTTAAGAGATAGCAATTAGGAAAGGGATAATATTGAATCACTAAATATTCAGGATCCACTTAAAGAGCAAGCACACTTATATTTGTCAAATCACAAACTCACTGAATGAAAGGTTTTAAATACATATTTATACTAGTACAAGGCCAACCATTAAATAATAGTGTGAGTGTGAAAGCAAGAATTATTTGCCTAAGACCGGCCGTAGTAGGTGTGAGAGCCACTACGGCGCCCCCCATGACGCCCCATACACTCTCCCCTTAGGCGTGATTACATCAAAAAACATGTGCACTACAGAGATAGCGCTCCCCCCATTCCAATCCCTCCAATTAAATCTTTACAACTCACATCTTTATTTTTAATTTAATTAAAAAATAAAAAATATTAATAAAGAATAGGGATTATTTGAGCTTTTTGCACTACGACATTTTAAGGTCATGGAGCCCTCAATGAGGAGGCTGCCATATGGAGGATAATGACGCTCTCCGGGCTCCATGACTACACATGGGCTAAATTCCTATTGAAATTTTGGCTAAAGCAAAAACAGATATAACTAAATGGATATTAAATCAAACGAAGACTGACAGTTTACTGTTCACTCAAGAATTGGTCTTCCTCTTTCTTCCAAATTTCATCCAACATGTGAAGTTTATGTGGAGATGATTACTTTATTGAAAAACTAGGCCAAAGATCAGAAAATAAGATTGACAGAACACTATTTGTTAAAATTGGTTTGTTTCTCCTGCAAAGTCGAGCCTTATTATTCATTTAAGACTTTTTTTGTCCATATTCAACATGTATCTTCAATCAGTCCATTTAGTAGGAATAGGTCTAGGCCTGTCAATGGATAACCAAAAATCCGATAACCGTCCACATTCCTATTCCTTTAAACGGGAACAATCCACATCCGTCTTAAACGGATATTATCTGTATCCGATTAAGGACATCCGATTACTAAACGGATATAGATTTGGTAATTGTATACCTGATCCATTTAAAATCTGATCCGGATATACATCCGTTTAAATAACCATTTATCCAAATATCTGTTTATCCGAATACCGAATTAAAATTATTTTAATAAATATAATCCCCTACCCAAACTATTATAAATTTATATTTAGCCCATATATCCAAAAATATACCTTGCCCTCTAAGTCTCTAACCTTAGTGTCTTACCATTACATCCAGAAAGTACTTGGTCGATTATGAATTTATATTTTTGTTCGAATCATTTATTTTGGTTAAGTATTTTCTATTTAGACAGTAGTTTTTTTACGTATTTGACATTGTTCAGCATTATGGATTTCGATATTCAGTTTCACATTCCGTTTATAATCATTTGAATTTTTTATTACCAATTTTGAATATTCTGCAATATTCTGAAAACCGGATCGGACGTCAAACCAAACTAGCAACTGGGTCAAGGATCAAGCGATCGAACCGGTTTGACTACGGTCAACGATCCATAGCTTAGTATAAAATATTCATATTTATGTTTAAATAAAAAAAATTGCCATGTTTTTTGAACTACTTTTAAATATAATAAAATATCATCGCATAAGTATGCCTATAATTATAAATAATACGAAGTTTATTTAAAGAAAAAATACAAAGCATTACAATTAGATGTATATTATTTTGTTTAAAAAATTAGGACACGGCATGTTTTAAGAAACAAATAGATATTATGTATTGCTTACAAATACAAAGTGTTTGATTTAGCCCAGATGGCTACAACTTTAAATTTTAAGGTTGGAGGTCTTGGGTTGGAATCCCTCTGCCCCCATTTAACATTTTTGTTTCTGGGTTTGGACACATTGATATTCGGTCAGATTCGGATATTTGGTCAATTTCGGATATGTAATCAGATCCGAACATATCCAAAATTGGGAATTATTTGTCGGTTACGGATTCCGATATAGAAATGTAAATATCCGTCGGTTACGGATTCAGATATCTCAAAAACTAATCGGATTCGGATATGCCATATCCGTCGCGGATATTATCCGTTTACAGCCCTAAATAGGTCCAGAGTTTATCCTCAATTATTTAGGTAGGAAAATAACAAATAAAAGAAAATAAAATCCTTGGGTTTATTTTGGCAAATAAGGGAAATTACGTCAAAAGTTCAAGGATGGGGATTTGAGGTATTTTCGAGTCTAGAGATCCAACCCAAAATGTATACTAACTGACTAACACTTTGACATTAAGATCCAATCAGATAAAAAACATCAAAAAAATCATATCAATTCAGGCGAATGGAACACAGCCTTAGCAACTTAGACATAGAGAATTGTTCTTTTTTATTTAAAAAATTGATCCCCGACAAAATTACCTGATGGGATCCAAGACTAATGCTACCCAACCGTAGTGGCAAATTGTTGCGACTATCAACGCCTCATCACCTGCGCAAGCGACTAAGGCAAAACTTAGTCGCTAGAGCAAATGGTGGTTCTACACTCTACCAGATTTCGTCCTCAAGCAAACATAAAATTCAAAGTTTAGCTCCCCACAGTAGAACCAGTTTGAAGTTTTTAGCGCTAAAACCAGCTGTCATGGCAGATTCTATGTTGGTTATTTACCAGAATCGAAACACTAAGAGTGTGTTTGTATTGAGGGGAATGGGGGAAAGGGAGGGTGATGGAGGGAGGGAACTTGTTCATCCTATGTTTGGTTTGAAAGTAAATGAATGGAGAAGGAAACAAGGGGAGGAGGAGAGTTCCTCCATTCCCTTCAAAACGCATCCCTCCAAATTGGAGTCATTTGGGGGGAGGGAGGGAGAGAGGAAGACGATGCCAAAATTCTTCACAAAAAAAGGAACTCATTTGGGAGTCTGGATCGGAATTACTAGGCTAAGAAGATGGAAACAGCAATTGATGAATAATTCATTGAAAGATAACAAATCAAAGGTTTGGCAAAGACAAAGAACACTTTTAACGAAGGCCTGTGATGGGGAAGAAAAGGAGCGTGAAAATCTTTGATCCAAACGTGATATCATCATCTCCCTTCCGCTCCTCTATAATACTTTCCTTTCCCATCCTTTATTAAATTTCATCCTTTATATCCAAACATAACCTAAAATTATAATCAAACACAAGGTTAGGCATATCATTAGATGTATGTCCAAAGCCTTATCTTCACAGTTTTCATTCTCCCCCTGGAGAGAAGTTTGCTCAAAACAATTTGTTTCCAAAAACCGTGGCATCCATACTTATTAGAATCATAACAAAGCTAGGGTCAGAGCATTTAAATCTTTTTGAGTAAAAGAATACCTTAAGAACACACATTTAATTGCTTGATGATTTATTTTACTTAATTTATTATCACAAATATGGACAAAACTGTAAATCCAAAAGCTATATGAGGCAGATCTGTTTAAGATCTACTTTACAGAACATGTGTCTGGAGTTTGTGAAAGAGATTTGATAGCTAAGAACGCGACTGCTGCTAGGCTTTTGGTTAATTAAACAGGCAGTTGTGGATATGAACCTTTTGGAAAAGATGCATATATAACATTAATGTTCAGGCAGCTGCAACTCCTGCAAGTAGATGTTGGTTTTTCCTTTTTTCCAATTACATTTTGTTGAGGTGTATAAACACAAGAACTATGGTCGACTGTAGATAATACTATAGTACCAACTGTACCATGTTCCACATGAAATTATCCTAAACTGTTATTAAAATCATCTCTCCATTATCAGTTAAAGGCTTGTTTTAGATTGAAATTGTGTTTTTATCAAAGCATGAAATTTTGATTTATGGCTTTTCTTTCAAAAGATGCACTTGAGTATTTTAGTGTGGCCATCAATAAATATGATGAGCCATCACGTGCCCATGATATATTTTACTCTAGAGGGTCCCCAGATGTAACTACGAGTAAGAGAGAAAAGTTTCAAGTGGATACAAATCATACAATTTAAAAGTAGGACATTTGGCTCTCTTATGTTTCGGAAACTGGTGGATTTTGCACTGAAACAAATCAACATCTTCATTCCCAAATAGAACAGAGAAACAAATGTTTAAAAAGAGCTAAATATAGGATGACATGGTAAAAAACAAACAAGGACACTGGTTTCTGAATATGTTTACTTTGAAGGTTATCTGGTTCGAGGTACTAGAGTCCCTGTTTTCATCATGAGAGGTGATTAAATAACTCAGAAGTGAGATTAGGCAAGGCATGAGACTAGATTAATCAGTTTGAGCTGAGCTGCTGCTTGTGGTGATTAGAAAAATCTGGCTTTGATACCACAAAAGCTCAGATAGTTGGAGGAGAATTAATTCTTTATAAATGACTTATATTATATACTCCGTGCAACACTAGTTACCCACTACCTACAAAAAAAATCAGATCTGATAACTATACCAACTATGTGATTTAGAGACCAAGTCAATTACACATAATATCAGGACATAAGCCGCCATAACCATAGTTGTGGAATGTCACGGGCAAAGCGAGGAACGGCGCCAGTGTACCGCCATGACGCCTAGGCAACACTTAATAATGAGAACTGGTATACAATAGTAAAACTAATATAAATATATCACATTATATATATTGTATTTGATAAACTTTAAATTTCTAATATAGACCAATAGATAATCAACAAAAGTATAAAAAATAGATTACATTTTATATAATATCCAATTTTGTTTGTCAGTATATACAAAAAAGAAATTTACTTGTTTGTCCTAGTATATAAGAAAAAAGTTAAAACTAGAAATTTAAAGGAAACAAAAAGGCCAGGAACAAATCTCTGTGTGTGGGGGGGGTCTACTACTTCAGGCACTAAGAAAAAAACAAAATATGAAAAGAAAAACATTACTGGAGGGCCGCAAGAGAATCGCCTTTCGAACGAGCGCTAGAGGGGTTGTCGAGTGAGGATTCCAACTTCCTATGGTATGGTGTTCTAGGGATTATAAGTTTTGGGGGTGCGACTTTGATCTATATAAATTACAAAAACAGACTTCCCAAACTCATGGTGTCTCTAGTGCATGCCTGGACGCCTAGTCATCTGCAAGTCAACACCTAGGCAGTAGGCGAGTAAGGCAAAATCAGACGAGTTGACCCGGGATGGAGAGAAGAGCATAGCACCGGGACGCCAAGGCGACGCCAAGACAACTATGGCCATAACTACACACTATGTGACTTAAGGATTCAGTTGATAATTTCACTAAATATGTAGCAGCAAAAATTTAAAATCTCTCCCCTAGTCCTGACTCTCCTCTCAATTATATCAAATTGAGGTTATATTAAAATTCACCCCCTGTCCTCCATTAAAATCCCACTCCCTCCCATTAGGTTAACTAAGCACACTGTAAATGTTCATTTACAGAAATATCCTACCCTTAAAAGTTAAAAGCATTAAGCCTTTTAGTATGTGAAAAGGATTCTTACTATCTTGAGCATAGCCAATGTTCAAGTCTAAAAAATTACGGAGTAAAATATATGTAAAACTTGGTAATGCCCCCAAAAAGAAAGTTATATTTAAATCAAGCAAATTAAAACAGTACAACAACAACATTACCCGAATGCCTCAAAGGCACCCATCCATTGCGGGGTAGGGGGTCGGATGTACGTAGCCTGAACCCTATGTTTAAAACATAGAGCGGATGCTTCCTGATAACCCATGAAGAGCATCAAAAATTGCATTGACTAACCGCTACTTCATTGTAAAAGAAGCACAAACAATTTAAAGAGTCATTCAACTTTATTCCATCATGCCCAAAGCCAAAAAATACCAAATTATAACCTTGTAAGAAATGTACGACAGCAAAGGAATTCAGACCTTAAATACACCATCCAATTGCATTTCACCTTGGGCTACGACAATTGTGTTTTCAACAAAAAATCCTGTTGTAATTTCGTATAGCTTGTAAAGGAAATATTGCATCTTAGTGTCAACAATCAAGTATCTAGAACAGTAAACTGAAGTGGAAGAGGACTAATCTACCTATTGAGATGATGGTGGCGCTGATTGGGAATTACTAATCAATGGGTTACAAAGAGTTTTTTGCTGAATGTTCTAATCTCTCTGCTTCTAACATATTCTATTCTGGTACTCCGGTCTCCGCATCTTGAAACTTATAAATTAAAGGTAGTCACTACTTAATGGAGAACCTAGAAGGGATGTGATGGATATGTTTATCATGAAGATATAGTCAATTACGTTTGTTTGAACAGTGTCTTATATTTAAAAGACAAAACCCATAAAAGACATCATTGAATGGATAGCATTGTAGTTCACATACTCACATAGAACTTTAGAGGGAATTTCTTGAAATTTTTTAGCTTTAATAATCAGCAAACCAAACTGTAAATTAATTAAAATCATATTGTGGAAGATCATTATCCTTTTCATTGAAGATTTAATAAGATCGTTTATCATTAAAAAGCAATAACAAAGATAAGCTTCAAGAAGGGAAAAAAAGGATATTGCATCAGATAAATTAACTTCAACTGCTGCTGTAAGGTCTTCCAAGAGGAAATGATCATCTTCCAATTGAGATATTAAACCCATTATCCATTTTCTTCCTATCTGCCCAACCAGAGATTGGATTGAAGATATCTGCTAATTGCCAACATAAATGTATCACATTATGCACAATTTTTCAGAAATTGAATCTGCATTCAGCATATACTCCGTACTGTATTTATGTCTATTTACAGCTCATGACTGGGATTTATTGCTTACTTCGCAGCTGCCATACTCAGACATAGTACTCCTAAAACAAGGCTTGGAAAACTGAGAATCACGAGAAAGTCTTTGGAATAACATCAGGAACCTGTCCTTGTATAAGTTGGCCTTTGCAGTGGCATCACCATGAATAGGAAGCCTACCTGCATGCCTACATATATATGAAAGCCCATGTCATTGACAATCATAGCTTTTTCAGGTCTAATGTATATGTGTTAAGAATAAAATTGATAAATAAGAAAGAAGTGAACCAAAACCCACACAGTTAGATAGCAACATAATTTGTCTATGAAAACATTAAAAACATTGAAGTATACATCCTCTAAAATGTGAGACTTTATCAGTACAAAACCAATTGCATGAATAATCAGTATCTGGTACAATGTACTTAACCATGACGTGGGAGTGTAAGGCAACACGAAAAACATGAGGCAGCATATTCGAAACTTCGCAAATTCTCGTACATCAAAGAACACAATAAACTAGTTGTAAATATGCTTGTATAAGGTATTCTCATATACACGTGTAATGCTGTAATTATGTAATCGTTTATAGTTTCTCAAGACACTACATTAAAACTACAGAGTTGAGATTGAAAGAAAACCAAAATGCACAATATATCTGACATAGTGGCTGCTTGAACATCAAAGTAAAAGTAAACATGATTCAGCTATGCAAATAAATTTGGGGTCAAACAAAATATCACCACGCTGAATAAACTGGAAAAAATGCCATCATTAGTTGACGTACTCGTAAAAGATTTTCTTGACTGGATCATATCTCAATTTTGGGGCATCAAAAGAATCAATTACTCGAAGTGCCAGTGCTGAAGAGCATGAGCTACCAGGGTTTTCCTCAATGGCGGCGTCTGCTTCCAGTAATAGGCTCACAACTTTGTGCACCGGCTCTTTGTCTAGAATGGCCGATTTCACTGGGGTAATCAAATCAAAATGAGGTCGGATTGAGCTGATAGGATAAGTAAATTGATTTTAGCATGAAAAAGAAAGACTAGATTGAAGGGTTTGAAGCACTGACAGGAAAGGTGGTGTAGCTCGTCTAGAAGGAGGTTGAGTGCTTCGTCGTGTGCTTCGGATGGGAATCGGTCTAGGAAGAAGAAGACCTCTGACAGGGCATCCACTTTGAGAGTGTAGCCCCTCATTTTGAACTTCCTCTGCACTTTGTTCCTTGTTCCATGACTTCGATTCATCTTCTATCTATCTTTCTACGCCTCTACTGTGTACCAGGATTGGATTCTCCCTTACGTGAATAGAGCGGGGGAGACGGCATCCACAATGTGGCAGACTTTAGCCCGCCCCAATACCTAGTTGCTTCTTTTGCCAAAACACCTACAATGTCATGGCTTTCTCCTTTCTTTTCTTCATTTATTTTACACTAGACTCGTACCCGTGCGATGCACGGGCGGTAAAATAACTTATATTTAATCTTGGTTTGGAATAAAATATAATGAAAAAAATAAAAAGATTACAAATTTTATTTTTATTGCCCAAAAAAGGTATTGTATATCATGGATTATTGTCGAAAAGTAGTGTTATAAGTTTGAAACACTTCTTTATAAACTACATTTGTATAAACTAATTCCTCTTTACAATAAATTAAGGAAATAATGAATTTTCTATAATTACAATTTCGAATTTAGTGAAATGCATGTCAGGAAAAATATCATAGGAAAAAAACATTTAATGTGGTTTTAATTTGTTTTATTTGAATAACACCAAATTGAAAAACAAATAAAAAAGAAAGTTTTTTAAGTTTGACTGTGAGAATAGTACACATGCAATCTAATTTTAGTGTGAGGGCTAAATTATGTTCATATAATTCATCCATCCAATTTAATTTTTAAGATATATTTTTTACTTAATTAATATACAAAATATATTTTCATTTAATCATTAGTAAAATGCTAAAAATAGTTCACCAAAAAATTAAATCGGGACAAAAACTCATGAGTCATGAAGAGGCATGGTAATAATCCACAGGCATTAGCCCACTTATTCTCCCAGCCAAACTTAATATACCGGCCCAAACTACTTTCCCGGCCCAATATTCATTAATATAAAACCAATCTTCCTAACCCTACCATTCATTTCCGCTCTTCCGCCGCTACGATCCCCTCTCTCCTCCTTCGTCTTGGTCTTCGTCTCTTTGTCGTCATCTCTCCATCCGTAACTATGTCTCTCCCTCTCTCTCCAATATTTTCTGATTATTAAACTATTTGATTTGTATGTGCGCCGATTCTTTTCGTTGATTCTACTTTTTTTGAAATTGTTGTTTTGGATGATCTTGGGGTCCGTTTTGATTTAATGTTTTTTCTTTAAGATGTGTTACAACACATCTGTAACGCCCCAAAATATACCCTAAAATTTATTAAATTAAATATTCAATTAAACAAAATTTGTTTTGATTAAAATAAATTATTGTTGGGCTTTGGGCCGAAATAAAATATATATTGATGTCCAATAAACATAATTGGGTTAAATCTGATAGAGATAAATCCAACATGTTGACTTATTGTGTGATCTTGATTGGGAACCTGAGTACAGACCCAAAACAAGAATAAATGAATAAATTATTTATGAAGTGAAATTTAAAATAATTTATTAAAATAAAGCATGAGAATAAGTAATATGAATTAAATGAGAGAACCTTTTATGAGAAAGGTCAATTAAACCAATTTTGACTCTGTTAAAGTCAAACACCCAAAAATATGATGTCGGAAAAAGTATTACAAATAAGTATGAAAAATATATCGTTGAATAGAATTCGACTGTCTGATCGCAACGGTGCAATCAGAGTTCAATTCGGAGAAAGTTGGACCAAAAAGTGTACTCCGACTGGAACCAAAATTGGTCCCAATCAGAGACCTATTCCATCGGCGCCTCCCAGCGCACTAGCCAATCCATCATCATCATCCTGCGCCTTCTTCCCTCCCACCTTCTCTATATAAGGAATTCAATCTTACTCAATTCTTCATTAAAACACTCCATATTTCTTTCTATTCTGTTCCTTGTTGAGAGAGGAGTGCACTGGTGCTGCCATTTTGTTGTGAAGTTGCCGGAGCTAGCCACAAATCTCGCCGGAAGTTTCGCCGGAAAATTTCCAAAACCTTCAATATGCTTCGAGGTAAGCCCGTAGATATATCTAGTGACTAGAATGTTCATATAGATCGTTTCTACGTTCATAAACGGTCGTTTGGTTGAGTTTTGTGTTTGACATGCTTGAAGAACCAAGAATCATAAACCATTAAATTGATGTTAAAACTATGAATTTATGATGCCAAAATGATCTTTGAACCTTGGAGAACATTTCTATATAGTTTAATCGAAGTTTGGAACCTAAAAATGGAATTCCCAAAATTGAAGTCGCAAGGTAGAAGACGATGAACAGTGGCTGAAAAGCCACTGTCTGGATCGATCCAGGGGCTTGGATCGATCCCCTGGGAGTAAATTTTCATAATATGGATCGATCCAGAGGGCTGGATCGATCCCCCGAATTTCTGATCCGAAAATTTGTCTGAAAATGTTATTTTTGAGCTCTAAAATCCTATTTTTGATAACAATTGATTATAATCATTATAAAAATGATTTTTCACATTAAAAGTAATATTTTTAACAAAATAAAATGTTATGTGATGCATGACGGTAAGTTAGGGTGTTAACACCCGAAGCTAGGCCGCTAATTGTTATTGAATTGATGAATGATTATGGTAATGATTATTAGTTGGTGATTATGATGATTAAATCTTGATAAATGTTTTGATTAAAAATGGTAATTATGAATGATTAAATCATAATGAATATATTGATGATTGTGAAAATAATATGTATTGTCAAGGGTATCTAGAAGACCTCTAAGATATACCCATATAAATGTTGATTTGAAAGATATCTAGAAGA